GATCCGACAGCGGCTGGTGGTTGAATTCGCGAAAGCTAGCTAAGATTCAAAAATGTCAATACGATATGAACGTCTGCTCCTAGTGTTCAAAACAAAGCTCATAGTTTTTTCTTATATATACATGTATGCTAACATGCATTCAACAGTAGAGCACTTGAGATATTTTCGATTTAAATGTTCCACAACCAAAATGTTCGTCTTGGAGTCAAGGTTTTCGCTATTAGTCAAAGTATGGTCGATTGGTTGGGAGTTCGTTGCTTCATCAACCATTTTCTATCAAGGAGGCTACTTGGCTCATTCGTCTGTCTTATCAGAACCACGTGTACATATGTGAGATACCCCCCCCCCAGGGATGACTTCGAATACCACTTTCTACAATATGTATGATAAGCATCATACGCGCCTCAAGCCGAAGTATAGGTTATCTTATCTATTCTTTTGTTTTGTGGAAATCGTTATGACTTTATACATCATGTAAGTTATAATCTACATTTGATTGCAATGTTATTTATAAATCGTCAATTATTATTGAAGTATATATGTTTGATTTCTCAACGATGCGTTTAATGTTCTCAACGTTCTATTTCTATTAATCTAACTGAGGACTTGACATTAATGCTCGCGATGAGATTTTTTCATATGACTGGTGATCCGCTCGATTACGCTTGCAACAAAATATCGCAACCTCGAATGTCGAGTTTTCTTTTTTCCTATTCCACGCGTTGTAGGCAAAATTCCCATGATATTTTTATAAAAAATGTGTGTCTTTAAGAAAATGTACACCTTTGCGAACAATTAGTTCAGAAGACTACAGAATCGTCGATTTAAAACCCCACTTAAGTTACGTAAACGGATCTGCATATCTAACCCATCCCGTTTAAGTAACTTAAATGAGGTATTGAATCATGGTTCTGTTGTCCTCTGAACTAACTATCTGTTCGCAAACATGTACATTTTTTTAAACATATGATACTTACGCACGTTTTTTATAAAAATATCATGGGAATTTTGCCTACAACGCGTGGAATAAGGAAAAAAGAAAAATCGTTCCTTCGAGGTTCCGACATTATGTTACCGAAACGGTCATCAGCGTAATCGAGCGGATCCCCAGTGATAATGGGGCAAGACTATTTTATATTATTTGAAACGCGTTTTAACGCTTTTTAACCAAATTGAATTTAACCAAAATGATTTATTTGTATGTAACGTTGTTTTCAAGAACTTATTTATGATTTTTTATTTCATTCATATTTTATACAATGCATGTCGACGCATTGGATAATAAAACATGTGCCAACGTTAACTTTTGGCAAATAAATATATCAACATAAATAAATTAATCTTGAAATATACTTTTTCAAAGAAGAAAGATAAAACTTTCAATGGATGTTTGTATGTATTAAATAACTATATGTTTCTACTAGATTTGAGAACGATCTAGTTTTGCTTTACACCCTGGACTATCTACTCTAATAATTCAACAGTCTTGAGGTTGAACTAGGAACGCTCGAATTCTTTGATTTGAAAAATGTAGACTTCATACGCTTTTCAATCGTGTAGCTAATTCAAATGTGAATAGTTTAAGACTCTTGTTATAACGCAATGATCGTTTGGCGCATTTGATAGCGCGTTGGAATTTGCCTTCCCATTAATTTGTCTGTAAGGTTCGTGTTCAAATCCCGACGCTGACAATCATTATTTATTTTTTAACCACCATGCATATGGGTTATGTCATGGGAGGTTTTGTATATGGGGTATATCCCTCGCGAAATATGATAAAGGATATCATATTTTCCGAGGGGTATACCCCATATTCAAAAACGTGCATGTGGTATCATAAATGAAGATTTCAGTGTTATCATTTTCATTATTTTCGAAAAATTCATAAACATTTGACCATGAAATATTCTACGTCTGCTGCATTCATTCTATAGCAAGATATTCGGACAGTTTAACTATTTCTACACTGAACAAAAATCATTTCCAGGGAATATACAGCGGGAGATATATGTGTCCCACTCCTCTAAGACATCAGTTCTATATCCAGCTGTTATGTACCTGAAACCAAAATAGCACAGGATAATCATTACTGATTGTCCAGGAGAGACATCTAATTTTGGTCATCTGAATGATTTTCAAAAATGACCAAGTTTTATCCAAAGATGAACTTATTTGATCTGTGAAACGCCCTCTATCTATGACTGGTATAAAATTCCGAGACTCTTCTAATGAGAATGAGGAGCAAAGTGGAACAACTTCTTAGAAAATTCTTTAAACATACTTCTAGTACCGCGCCCCTCAATTGCTTTACGAAAATAAGACTTTGCTTCACAATCTAGCCAAGACATATTTTATTTCGCATGTACAGTTGAAGGAAACTTATTGTGCTTTATCGAAAAGTAACGGTCAAAATACTACATTGAATTTCATCGCTTTACAAAAAACGTTCTAGAAACAGAAGTTTTAATCATTCAAATATAATATTTCAGGATGTCAAAATTCACCTCATTTCTAAAAAGGTGTCAAATTTTCATGATGATCACTTCCAGAATAAAAAAGCAATGTCCTTCTAAAAAGCTCTCCTTATCGGGGGTTCTCTTTTCATTGAGTTGGATATTACCTTCGAAATCACAACTTTCGAAATATTTGTTTCAACCAAGAATTGTAAGAACTTTAAACATGTTGTTAGTTTTTCAAACCGCATATCCTCATTAACGTTCTTTGACAAGGATGAATTCATTTGAAAACATGGATTTTCTTGATTATTCTTCAAAACTACCCTTGAAATATAAGTATGTGGGATATTACAGTATAAATTGACACACATTTGTTTGCTCAATATCATGAAAAAATAAATGCAGTACCATCTTTCAATATTTGAAAACAGAAAGTTCATTCTGTATGTAAACAAGAAAAAATACATTTATTGTTGATTCATAATGAAAAATGACAAATAACATACATCTTTTGAAGTAGGGGTATACATGGACATAGTGAAAATTCAGAAATTTAGGCCATATCTCCAAGATTGCTTCACCAATATGTAACAAAACATCAAAATAATCATTTACACGTTTGCTGATAGGTTTATTGAAAATAAATAACCAGAGGTCTACTTCAATTTGTGCACCATTCTTAGTTAGTATTGATGAACATACGAATATCGAATGTTGATTAAGTTACTTGGCTTGACCGATTATCTATTTAGAGATTACTATGCTCATACTACATATATTTGTTTCTCAAAGAACAAACGTAGAATATATAGAGGATATCCTATGATTTATGAGTGATCTGATTTTTATCCACGAATGGATATGATACAATATCCATGAGTGGATTAAAATCAGATCACGAGTAAATCATAGGATGTTCTTTTTATTCCACAGTTAAAGTCATCATCAGAATCGTCGGAAATTAAGTTATTTAATTCTAATTTTCCAAACGATCCGGCGATGTTGACACTAAGCCTCGTTTTGAGTCTGAAGTAGTAAAAATCCATAAACCATCGCATACGGCGCCGTATGTCATGGCTAAAAAATCGTATGCTATGGTTAAGTGAAAATTTGTCAAAAATATCATATTTTATCACTGATTACAAAAATACCGTTTTTATTTTCACATGTTATCCTATGAATATCATGCTAACTATGGAATAAATAGAGGATATCCTATGATTTATGAGTGATATGATTTTTATCCACGAATGGATATGATATCTGCACGAGCGAGCGTAGCGAGAGAGTGCAGATATCAATATCCATGAGTGGATTAAAATCATATCACGAGTAAATCATAGGATGTTCTTTTTATTCCATAGTTAAAGTCATCATCAGAACCGTCGGAAATTAAGTTATTTAATTCGAATTTCCAAACGATCCGGCGATGTTGACACTTAGCCTCGTTTTGAGTCTGAAGTAGCAAAAATCCATAAACCATCGCATACGACGTCGTATGTCATGGCTAAAAAACCGTATGTTATGGTTAAGTGAAAATTTGTCCAAAATATCATATTTTACCACGGATTTCAAAAATACCGTTTTTATTTTCACATGTTATCCTATGAATATCATGCTAACTATGGAATAATATAGGAATATCCTATGGTTTTGAAAAAAATCATTTATATCAATGAGTGGATATTGATATCTTCATGAGTGAGCGCAGTGAATCAGATATTGATATACATGATTTGATATTTTAAAAGAAAACATAGGAATTATCTGTTTATCCCATGGGAAATCGTGATCAGCGAAAAAGTTTTTAAAAAATTTGAAAAAAACTTTTAATTTTGAACAAAGATTACAAAAAAATCGAAACCAACGAATATCGCTTATGAAAATCGAAACCAACGAATATCACTTATGAAACCATCAAATATCGTTTTTGGAACCATCGAATATCACTTTTTAAGAAGTGATATTAGATGGTTTGAAAGTGATATTCGATGGTTTGGGAATTTTTTGCTAAAACATGATATCTGGATCAACATATCTAATACAACTTTACATGATATTCGATCTAAATCCTTGTTACCATGCGATAATATACTTATTGTTGTTTTTGGAAACTTTGTAAATCCAACGATTATTCTATTATATTTCCCTAACTCTAAATAACATATTTGGATACGATGTAGGGATGCGTAAGATGCAACTATATTTTGATGGATACAAAATGCTTCGCTGTTTTAGCATCTACACCTCTTCGCTTCATGATTGAATATTGACCCTAATAAATAAGTGGCCCATCCATGCATCCATCGACCAATACAGTGCTGAATATAGGTTAACAAAATACTAGTGTACATATAAATGTAATAATAAAAGCAGTATATCCATTTTGAAAAATCAGATAAATTAATTTTTTCTCATGGGGAAATCATAATGGAGAGTGCACTACATCCTTTTGATAAATGAATATAAGGATATGAAATACTGATTTTGTTATCTCAAATAACGTCGACAAATAAGATGGTTTTAATAAGTAAAACAACATACTGGTAAGACGGTAACTTCCTGTGGAAGATGCCTCGTTTCTTGAAAGTTGAAGTCATAGTTGTTGTCTCTCTGAATCTCGGGTAGTTCTACTCCTTTCCTGAAGTGGCGTACCAATATACCTGTTGCAGCGAGATGTGCATGCAATTGGACTCCGATAAGTTTTATCCCATCATTTGCATTAGATGCCGCCATTGCCTGAAATATGGAAAACGTTGAAGGCCAACGGACATGCTGTTACATCAAGACAAATACATATAAAACTAAAGATGCTTGTTATTTAATGATGTAAATGACATTTTGTTAAAAGACATCAACATTGAAGACACTAATATCTTACAGCAGTTAAGCATTCGGATGTACACGTCCCTGGATTGATGAAGGCTGGTGTGTGTGGGGGGTTCACTTGGAAGCTATGCCCACTTATGATACCAGTCTCTAGCATGGTGGCATCATATTGTCTCAAGGTCGGTGTGTAGATAAGTTCCAATCCAGATGTATCATAAAGTCCTAAAAATTACATATACATAGTGCGCCAACATATTTACAACTTGTAGTTTTCATCTACAGTATATACTATCAGTGTTTCAATGTTTGCTAAATTAATGTATTATGTTTAAAGACTACTTCACTTCTTAAAACGACAAATGTACCTTGTATTGATTGAGGATTGTCCCAATGAACTTCCATCAGTACAAAGTTGAAGTTGGATCCTGGACCAATTGGCATACCAGCGTGCGGAGGCAGTGCGAACATCTGGAAGTGAAACATTTCATGTAGTTCTAATTCCGAAATGTTCAGACTAATGGTTTACTGAGAAACTATATGTTTGATTAAGATTAAGGAACAAATACATACCCCAGCTCCTACGGCCCAGCCAAATACTATACTCGTACACAGCACCATGTTGTCAGGCATGTTGGGATTGAAACACTTGGAGGCATAGCCGTGGTGGGATTCATTTATCTCGTGGTGACACGCGTAGAGGATGATGTGGTGCACTAGTCCTTCATTTCCAGGTTGGACGATTTCTTTAAACTATAATGCATTTATATAAGTTGTTGACAATGTTAAACGCATATACTGTGTGGAAAGAATTTAAGCCCATGGCTTGCTTGTTGCTTCATTCCACTCAGATGTTGTTTCTTAAACTTTGCATTCAACATGCAGGGTCATGGAAAGATTTGGAAACATCTTCGTGGAATGGTTCAGCACACAATGCACTGAGTCCAAGGCTTAAATCCTTAATTCATGCATCGTTTAATTTGTATCTTAAGCTGTTAATACATGACGTGATTATTCAAGAGAAAAAAAAGAAGTTCTACTGTGATTTAATCATTCAGGAAGAAAGACAAGTATAATGGCATATATGGTTTAAAATGCTTAGTGATTGTATTTCTTGTTCTAGAATTCACTGATAAATATTGTATGGTTCATGAATAGACTTTGAACTTTAAACATATAATTCTTCTTCAGAGTCTAGAAAAATCTTTGGATTATCAATGACACTTTTTTGCACTCTTGTGAAGGGCTGTCCATGAGAAATCTCAAAACACTTTTCATATATAAATTGATACCTTGAATATATTTATCCACAGAATATAATTGTTTACTGTTGTAACAGTAATTTTAGTAAAAAGAGTAAGCGAGTTGTGTTCTTACTGCAACAACATGCTGTTTCTTTTCGAAGGTTGGAACCAAGAATCCTTGACACCAGTACGTTGTGCGTCTTGATGGGACTGATACCTGAAATGTTGACACAAATTTTGCAATCATAGCATAACCATGAAAGTGGCGAAATGATTGTCTTTATGTATTGTTCAAGATAAAATACCATTTAAATTGTCATGTGGATACGGATGTCCATGCAAAAGCAACTTACGTTTGTTAGACAAAACTGCAATGATTCTACATCATCGGGTAGCACAGGGGCAGATTTTCCTCTATGTGTTATTAGTTGGATGGACTTAGACCCTCTTCTGTTTTGTCCATGGTATAGTAGATCGGTGTCTGAGCTTGGGTCATCAGGATGGTAAGACCATATAACCTTTACTGTTCCATCCTGTAAAATCAAAAGAAAACAAGTGTAATGGAGAGCGTAAATGAGATTACATCATCGATATAAACACCCATTGGAAGAAAAGTCAGCACTGAAAATTCGCAATCGTCACATTGTATATTACCAAGCATGCCCATAATTATAACCCATTATCGGTTCGCCCACATATCAAAACAGGTCACGTGGCAGACTATACATATCGTGCATCTAAAATGTCAAATTTCTAGGAATTTACAAGGAGAGTTTTCGATTCCTTAACTGCAAATGAATTGTCTCTATCATGTCAAATGTTAAGGTTTTTAACTAAGAAAAGGAAGGTACTCCCATTTCATTCGGTACAATTTTGGAACTTATACTTTTTAAGAATTATTATACTTAATTTCATGATTGCATGCATTTATCAACTTGTAGTAGGTTACTAACATCAATTGGCCAATCAAGGTCGTCACAAGTGTCTAACAAACGCCAAAACTTCAGGACGGTCCACCCATCTTTCTCGAGTCCATAGTCGAGGTAATAGTCCTGCTTTTCATCAATTGTCGGTGTCGTTAATGAATCATTGGTATGTCTATCCTAAAATTAAAGAAAACTATTTTAAAAGCAGAAAACAGCCCTACACAATTTATTGTTATATACAATTCACACATCTCTGAGATAAAGTCGTTTCATTGTATACATATTTTTTCGCAATATTTATGTGAAAAGTAACATCGAGGGCTTTTTTGTTCATACGATTTGCTAATGCAGTCTGCAAGGTCAGTAGGCCTATACATTACCTTAAAATATACTGTTCCGTCAGCTCCTACCCATCCTATTATCATATCTGATCGTTTCATTCCTCCATTGGGTGAGAATCCAAATCCGACGTATCCAAGTGTATTTGCGTGAACTTCAAAAGTGATTGTTTCATTTGTGTAATTCCAGTAAATGTGGTAAGTATCCTTTGTTGATAGAGCCGCATTGTAGTCATATTGGTCCGTTGGGTCAGGGCGTGCTGCATTAGCCAATGCACAGTGTCCATATAGCAGAAATAGCACAATTGCTGTTAATTTAATCATTTTTTGAAATTGAAAGATGTATAACACAACTTCTGATAACTTACATATCACACCCTCGCTCTCATATCATGACATTGTCCTCTTAACAAAGTGATTAATCTTGCATTGGCCGAAACATACAGGTTAGCCAGAAAAAAGTGGACCGTCGTTTCTTCCTTTAATTTCCACATATATGGCGCGATCAGATTAAGTCTTGGCAAAAATGTACATTAGTCAATGCATAACATTGTGAAGGAGTGGATTGTCAATTTTCTCATTTCTATTGATGGCTAGTTCAGGACATGCACCAAATGTGCTCCCTGGCAAAGAAGAAAAACTTGGATTCTGCGCGCAGCAATCCATGGTTTTCAAACGAATGCCATTTTCTCCAAAATGCCAATGTCAATTCAAAGAATGATGTTTATTTTGGTACAGCTCTCAGTGCTTCAAAGGCCATTGCAATCTACAAAATGTACAGGTTGGGCTGCTCTCTTAAAGCTAGGCATAATTGGGCCTTACTTACTCACTTCGAGAGCCATGTTAGATTTTGAAACTTATGGCTCTCAAACGGAGAAGTGAACAGCTGATCAATAGTGACCTTTGAAATTGAATTAAGTCGATCCTCGAGGGTCGCTTGTGTTGCTATGGTGATATTTCTGGCAGTTTTGGTGTCTTAGAGCCTCCATCTCATCTTGACCGAGAGTTTCTGGTGGCACGGAGTGTCATTGATTTACACTCAACCCTGGTCCCAGTCAGAGTAGCGAACATAACCAGTCAGCCACTGAAAGTCATGACAGAGTCTACAATTGCCATTTGTGAACCTGTGGAATGCCTGGAAGAATGTGTATCTCCAGATGAATCGTCAGATTGTGGCATCCGAGCTGTAAACATCGAGGGTAATTTGCCTGCCCATCTTCGAGACTTGTATGATCGCAGTTCTATCCACTGTAACAAAGAGCAGAAAGTGAAATTACATAACCTTTTGATGAAATATGGTCATGTTTTTGCTAAAGACAAGGCTGATTTGGGTAAGACCGATCTGGTAACACACTCCATTGATACCGGAAACAGTCGACCCGTGAAAGTGCCACCCCGAAGATTACCGCTACACAAACGGGAGGTCGCCTACGCTGAAGTGGACCGTATGCTGAAGAATGGGATAATAGAACCATCTACTAGTCCTTGGTCATCTCCAGTAGTCCTGTGCAAGAAAAAAGATGGTACTGTACGATTCTGTATAGATTTCCGATTGGTCAATGATCTGTCCAAGAAGGATAGCTATCCGTTGCCACGAATAGACGACTCCCTGGATGCTCTCTCTGGCAGGCGATACTTCAGCTCTCTCGATATGGCGAGTGGATATTGGCAAATACCGATGGACCCAACCGATGCTGAGAAGACTGCATTTTCTGCTGGTAACGGGCTGTATCAGTTCACTGTAATGCCCTTTGGGCTTTGTAATGCCCCTGCCACCTTCGAGCGTCTGATGGAGAAAGTGCTTCAGGGCCTCCATTGGGAGACCTGCCTAGTTTACATCGATGACGTCATTGTATACTCCAAAACTTTTGACGAACATCTTACCCGCCTCGAAGAAGTTTTGTCGCGGATTCATCATTCCGGAATGAAAATTGCTCCGAAGAAATGCAATTTTCTGGCTGAAGAAGTATCATTCCTTGGACATCAAGTATCTGCCGATGGCATCCGGCCTAACCCTGATAAGGTTAAAGCTGTTAAAGAATGGCCTGTGCCCTGTGGTGTTAAAGCGGTTAGAAGTTTCCTTGGAACATGTGCCTACTATCGCCGGTTCGTGAGGAATTTCTCCCATAGAGCCAAAGCATTGGTGCGACTGACAGAGAAAGATACCACCTTTGTCTGGTCTCCTGGATGCCAGTCTGCTTTTAACGACCTGAAGGAAGCTCTTGTCACCGCTCCAGTGTTAGCGTATCCTGTGATAGGAGTGCCATTCATTGTTGACACTGACGCAAGTGCTTTTGGGGCCGGTGCGGTGCTGTCCCAAGTCCTTGATGGGGATGAGAGGCCTGTTGCTTACTACAGTCATACCTTCAGTCGACCTGAGACCAACTATTGCGTCACACGCCGTGAGCTTCTCGCAATTATCTTAGCTCTGAAGAATTTTCACCATTACATCTATGGGGTAAACTTCAAGATCCGCACCGATCATAGTAGTCTTCGTTGGTTGATCAACTTTAAATCTCCAGAAGGTCAAATGGCCCGATGGCTCGAGATTTTGGGAACGTATGACTACACTATCGAGCATAGACCAGGCGTCAAACATGGAAACGCTGATGGCCTGTCCCGTATTCCATGTGGCCCTTGTGGCAAGTGTGAACGACGTGAGGACCGAGATCTTTCCGTTCGAGCAGTGACTACCCGCTCTGCAGAGAAAAACTGGCTTATACCAGTTTCTGATTTGAAAGATTGTCAACGTGCAGACCCCGTGCTTGCCGACGTGATTTCTTGGGTGGAAACTAGTACTCGACCTTCGCGCGAAGAGATTACACCTTGTAGTCCATTACACAAACAACTTTGGGGGCAGTTTGATGCTCTGTTGATAGAGAAGGAAATTCTCAGTAGAAAGGCTAAAACTTCAATTGATGAACCCCTGATACAATCTGTGCTGCCAAAGAAACTTCAACGCACAGCATTTGATGCACTACATGGTGCAATGGGACACATGGGCATAACTCGCACGATCGAGAGAGTGCTTTCCCGGTATTACTGGCCAAATTACAGAGCCGATGTTGAAAATTGGTGTGGTCAGTGCACCAGGTGTCAAGCGGCCAGCAATCGTAACCGGACTCCAAAAGCCCCTCTGAAGTCCTTCCCTGCCGGAGCCCCTGGCGAACGACTCTTTGTGGATATCCTTGGGCCCCTAATTCCCACATACAAGGAGAACAAGTACATCCTAGTGCTTGAAGATGCTTTCACCAAGTGGCCCGAAGCGGTACCGATGCCCGATATTACTGCTGAGACCGTAGCTGAGGCCCTTGTCCGATCTTACATCACTCGGTTTGGTGTGCCCCTGCAACTTCACACGGATCAAGGCCGTCAATTCGAAGCTGATCTTTTCCAAGGGCTGTGTAGTCTAATGGATATTGATAAAACCCGAACTACTGCAATGCACCCCCAGAGCAATGGGTGCCTCGAGAGAATGAATCGCACCCTCCAGCTGATGCTACGGAAGGTGATTTCATTGCACCAGAGGGATTGGGATGAAAAACTTCCATGGGTTTTATTCTCGTACCGCTCTTCCATCCATCGAAGTACCGGATTTTCCCCTGCTAGGCTAATGCTTGGCCGGGAAATGCGACTACCCATTGACCTTCTTCTAGGTCCTGCACCAAAAGGTCACGACCCAGTTGTGTACCAGTCATACGTGTCTGAGGCTAGGGATGCCCTCTGGATGGTGGAAGAAGTAGCCCGGCACAACCTCCAGAAATCTGCCAGCCAACAGAAGCGCAATTACGACAACAAGATTGTTTACAACAAGTACCATGTTGGCGACCCAGTATGGTTGCACTCCGCAGTACGCAGGCCAGGGCTATCCCCAAAGCTGCAAAACAAGTGGGAAGGACCATATCGGGTCAGGCGGAAACTTTCTGACTTGGTGTTTGAGGTGGCCCGATATGGCAAAAGGAAGACCGTACACCACAATCGTCTAAAGCCTTTCTTGGGGACCTGTGATCTCCCAGAGACATTGCCCGATGCCGAGGAATCCCCTGTGACCCCTGCAGATTAAGTTGATTCTTCTGGTCCAAATAAACCTGAATTAATCTGACAAATAAATGACTGACAATTATTACAGTTTTATGTGAAATTGTTTTGGGGAATCTAAGTCAATAAATGAATAAAAAAAAATATATATACTCAGACTAACTCACTTAATTAATATGAATAAACATTTAAGGCCAACTTCAAGTCCCCGGCCAAACATCCTTGAGATTGCCTTATAGCAAGCTTAAGTCCCGATTAATAACATTGATTATCTATGCAATATCATAGTTAATGAGATTATATTCATGCTATCTCATGATTCCAGAGCCTGATGATTCCTGGGAGGTGAGGAGCCGACCCTATCTTCTACGGCAGTAACTTTATCCCCTGTATGTCCATAGCACAGTCTTTATATCTAATCCCTCCTTTTGTCATTCCAGATGTCCAGACCAGTACACAGCCGCCTTGGGCGCAAGCCATCTGTCCAATGTGAGGAGTGTGGAAGAGACTTCAACCATCTTGGTCTACTTCAGCACCACATGGCCAGAAGGCACCCCAAGAGACACAACCATGACGGATACCGGTGTAAGAAGGATGGGTGTGGACAATATTTCACCCGGAGAAGGTCCCTCAATGACCACCTAAGGAGGAAGCACCCAAAGTCAGCAACCACCATGTCCAGTATGACATGTGTGGCCGTCCCTGAGGCATCCAGTATGATGCCCAGGCCAGCAGCGAGCCCTACACCATCTTTGGACGCCCCTGCGGACCTCGGGTTTGTGTTTGATGTTGACTCGTTATCTCTAGGGTGTTGTAACCCGAACGATATTCTAGACGTCCGGACTGTGGTATTGCAGGAGGGTGAGAGTGGTAACCGTGAGCCTGGGGTTGCCGTTGCTGTAGACCAGAGGGCGGCCCCAGTTCCCTCACTTCCACTCGAGAGCCCGAGTGAGACGCTAGCAAGCAACCCAGAGAATGCCAGTGGGAAGGACCAGAGTAGCGACATCGAGCCTGGGGTTGCCATTAGCACAGACCAGAGGGCGGCCCCAGTGTCTTTGATGTCGCTCGAGACCCCCCCTAAACCCAGTGAGACAGCTCTGTCTAACCTGGGTAGATTACTTACTACAACGATAGAAGGGCTGATTGAAGAAGTCTCCAGGGCCCCAGCTACAGTGGATGCGGAGGCTCCCACACCACCAACTGTGAGGAGGCCCCAGCCGTCCAAGGCCACCTGCCCTAAGAGGTCCCCAAGTACCCGGCCGTGGAAACTTATTCCACTTGACAGCCCCTTTCAGGTGGGAGTTGGAAGTGTGTCTCCTATGGACCCCAGACTCTTTGGACTCCACTTGGCCCCCTCCAGCCTCTCCACATCTAGAAGAGGCCAGACCTTTCGCTCCACTCTGCGGAAGGGTCTACATAGCTCCGGCGAGCAGGCCATTACCACCATTCCCGGAGTTAGTAGGACCGAGTCCATTACATGGCGGGAGGGACCCACCGAAGTGACATGGAGCATGAAAACCAGCACCTTTGACCAGAAGGTGGTCCTCCAGGAGGATGTTGACCCAATCCCCTCAAAGAAGAAAGAGCCAACAATTGCAGCACGACTCGATGCTGTCTTCGGGAAACTCCCCCAGGAGCAGTAACAACCTACAATGAGTGACTACTAATATATGAACATTGATGAACTTTATGAATATATAGACATTGACATTTTGATGAATTTGAACAAATGAAATTTAACTGTATTTTAGCACTTCGAGGCGAAGTCATTTCTTTTAGAGGGGGATAATGTGGTATTTGAGGGTATAGCAGTCAATGGAAGACCTAAATATGTTTATGCCTCGTATCTTTCACTTACCATTAACTCAACTTCAATTCTCAAATATTTCTTGAAATGTTCCGGGCGATAATTCGGTCGCCATTTCGAGTCTTAGCGATCTCTTCAATCACCATTTTTAGCGTATTTCTCTACTTTGTAGCTTTGTGAATCTATATGCATGTATAATCGTACGGAATCTTGAGTATTTCGCAAGTATTCCACTGTAATTGACATATTTGCAAACTTTTAAAAAACCTTTCTTGGGAGATTCCATTAGTGACGTCACGCGCATGCCCCCTGTAACTTTTAGTGATTCCCACTTTTGCGCATGCGGCCTGTAGCTCTTGGAGAAAGGGAGGGAAATTTGAACGTAAGGGCGCTTTTATGAGCTGCTGATATTTTTCTCATATTTCGGGGAATTTACATATCAAATAGAATGTAAACTTATTCAATTATGTAGGCTAACTGGGGGTAGGGATAGAACATGTAAATAAACAATGTATATAATTGTATATAGCTAGTTTATCTTGTGAATTGGAGGAGACAGATTGTGATCATAAAATTGCATGGAATGGCGGGCCGTATTCGTATTGCAAACTCTGGATGTAGTCAAGCTACCCTCATAAAATCACTTAGAAGGAATTGCTCTTCTATTGTAATAAAAGAATCACACTCTATGTCGGGCACACTATTGCCTGTTGTGTGATTCTGAGTGTGTCACCCCCCCTGTCCTTTCTTGGATCCTGCTATATCTTTTACCATTCTCTTATCATACCGCACCAATATGTGCGAATGGTGTTCCAATTTCACATATACTTATACTATTAAAACATATTACTTATCTTAAACTTCACTTTGGTGGTACCTACCAAAATTACTTTGTATTACACGGTGCACAACCACAACGCAACAAACATGCTAAATTCACGGTGTATAAATGCATCGCAGTAGCTTACTCATATATTTCTATTTGGTGTAAATTACACGGTGGTTGAATAAAACGCACCAGTTACTTAGTTTCATTCTATTGCCTTGACTGCATGTGATTACCCGGCTGGCCTATTCCAGCCCTTATGTGGTATGTTATGCAGTTACGGTGGGAGACATCTACATTTATTGCAATCTATTTTGTACCACTACTGTGAATGTTTTTACGGGATCAATATATCCCTGTTCTAATGAAGCGCAAGTTTCAGTCCTTCCAAGCTAGCTTCCCTGTAAATTAGTTCACATTTTCCTTGTCCTTTTATATCCTCTTATCTTATTCCACGCATCCAGCTATGCGTGGCATACAACTTATAAATCCATTATTACACATCATCGTGTAAGTGGTTTACAATATACACATTATACTTATATCGTACCTTTTATTAAAATACACAGCGGTATATCCCCACGGTCCCGTCATTAATTATTTTACAACACATTTATGGTAAAATACTTAAATATGATAACCACAATGCACCACTTTGAGACGGCTGACGGTCATGTTGTCCACACTTGACCTCTCATAGGATGAGGCCCAGGATGTCACACGGCGCCAAGATGTTCTATGCCTGGACCTGTGGGATACTCACGGCGGAGCAATGCAGCCAGATGCCTGACAGACGTCATTGCACACTCATACATATTTTTGTTGCTACTACTTTTTACTATAATATTTCAAATGCACACTACTTTAACATACACCGCGAAGTCTCTAATGTTTCCCCTTCCGGCTATACTACACTATAATATATACAATTTGCACTTATTCTTCAAAGTGTAATTTACATACTGTATGGATACTGACAAAGTATCATTTCTGTCATAATTACACTTTATAATAAGCTCTCAAGCTTTCAATTCTAAGCTCGGTTTCAAATCTAAAAAAATATAGGAAAGGGGGTAGGGGCGGTCCTCAACGCCCTCCCCCTTCCGACGCCAATGAAATATGTCAAAAACATATATCCATAATACTTTTTGGTGCTACCTTAGTACCGTTTTAATATTGACGTTTCAAAACACATTGTGCTCCTTCCTCTCAATAACTTATTAAGCTACTACAGGGTGTCAAATAAGCCTGTTCTCCCCCCTTAACTTTTTTATCTTTAAATTTATCATACTTTCCCATATATCATTTTGAAGCTCATGGAAAATGCTGATCACCCTCAAAAGATCAATAATGAAATATTCTTAATAAAATTCCTACAATGTTTCTTTTAAGGTGTAGTTGGCCTTTGATTACGTCAAAACAAGTAAAATTACCAGGTAGCCTATAGTGAATGAAAAGTGAAAAGTTGATACTGCAGTGACAATGCCAACATTGGGTGATTTCGATGATTCTCAATATCATTACAAAGTAGAATGTGTTACATTCAGAGGGGAGCCTTTGAAGCCGGGGCATTTTTCATCACAAAATAGTTGATAACACCTAAGATTAAACGTTCTGAATGATTTATACAGGATCATATCCTCGTAGAATTGAGGCCATCCGGGCTGCTGGGGGAGACATACAGACTATTAAAAAAGTGAAATATGGACATCACTAAAAATACTCTAAAAATTTGGAATTTAACCAATCACTCTGAAATTTGGTGTGTGATCAGCAAATTAAATTCCCTTTAAGATGATATATACCAACGCTATGTTATCACTGAATTAAAAAAGTTAAGGGGAGAACAGACTTATTTGACGCCCTGTAGATAAGTTAAATTGTTTCGAAACGTCAACATTAAAAACATTTTAAAAGGTACTTACATATTTCTGAACATGTTTTTTTTCAGGTTGGTAATATTTATCCAATTGTTACTTCTTTATGCTATGTTTTTCAGTTTGTTTTTTATATTTATTTCAATACAGAGTATGCAAAGAATGTGATATTCCGATGGAACTTATACGTTAAAAATAACATTTGAGTACGTGGGTGATGGTGGGTTATATTGGTGATATTTTGTGATGAGTCTGTTTTTCCAGGCATTGTTAGAGAATGGTAGATGTTCTTGCCATTAGGGAAACAAACAATGTAGGAGTTCTCACTTCAATTAAAACATTAAAGATTTGTTATTAAAAACACAAAAATATTAAAATGATAACGTTCATTAAAACAACAATAAGCAAAATTTCAAACAATGCGAATTTGAATCTGCATGGTTATTCAGGAGAAAATAGTGTCGTGTGATAATACGTGGGATTTCTGAATAGCCATGACAATATTAAGAATAATTTTGACATTGGACAAAACTATTTCTGCACTTTACAACACTTCATAATGCCCAAGTGCAACAACGTTGTGACATGATAAGATAAACATTCAACATATCAATACCTTGACATCAACATCATCAGTTGTCAAAAACATCGATATAACCATAATTGTGACTCTCCATCAAAGCCCGAAGTTATCATGTTACTGTATATTCACATTCTCCTAGCGTAAGCTAGAGGAATCTTACCCTGTATTCTCCTTGGCTATGCACACTACCCTCTTAACTAACATGATTACATTCTGGTGAGTTCTAACGGTTTCAAGCAGTTTAATGTGGAATGAATGGTTGGCTATAGCATAGGCTATAACAGATCCTCAATATATGACTACATATTCCGTGATATACGCTAGATCAGAAGATTAGATCTATTGTGAAGTATGTCATCCTGTTACTCGACAGATATTTTTTGTTTCACAACGAGCAGCATGCTATGTTTTATTGAGACTTTTATTTGAACTTATGGTGTCATACATCTTCTTGCTATCATATTATCATATTATCATGATCTAATTATTGTCCTCAATGTTCATACATATACATAATAAACATCATATTCTGTTGCCATGAGGTGTACAATGGTTTGAAATCTGCCAGATGGCTAAATCTAACATATTATAAATACATTGTCAATGCGTATTGATAATTTGATATTTCAAGAATGAGAAGATATGATGTTAGATTGTGGAAACTCTAACTCAATCTCTAAAACAAAATGAATTACAAGTGTTACAAGTGTTACACGTGTAAGTGTGCAATCCTTTGACAAAAGAACTTCACGTGACACACACTTTGAAGTCCTCTTATTTACTATTGAATGGACCGAAACTGATGAAACAAAATGAATGAACCGAACAGTCTGGATTCTGGAGAAGTTTTCATTATTAGAGCCAACAGAAAGCCCTATTCTTACTCATGAAAATGAATTCTACCAATACTCTACCACGTGTATCTACTTGTGGAGACTCGATCAACTTAAGTTCTTCTGAAAAAATGAGGATTTCATCAAGGGTACCACAGACTTAACATGTGAATATCATTGATTTTCATCCTGCATAGTCTATCTGCATTCGCACTAATTTATATTCCGGTAATTTAAGTAAATTGACAAACAAATCAGTTTGCTTAAAAAAACGGATTGGACCACGGGTTCTCAACAGATTGTGGCTCAATTGCTCAACAGTTATGTACAATGACATAATTAAATTTTTAAACATTAAGTCTCAGCGTACTCAACATAAACTAAAATGCAATCAATTCAAATATCCTTTGGGCGATGACACTAAAACAATTACTTAATTGAATGTTTGGTTAATTAAATCATTGAAAATGATCAAGTCAGTCAAGTGACCACCAATGTACATTGCCATATGTTGTTCGAATTTCTACAACACTTCAAATTAAAGCAATGTTTTAAATTCTAAAAGTAATGAACTAATATCAACAAGACACCACCCCAATACTTCAACCTTGGAATTGGAATCGCACCATACATAACTAGGATATCGTAAATGTAAAACCGACTTAACTTCTACGAATACGAGTTGGGATATGTATCATAAATTGAGGGAAGAACGAGAGTTGATAGTGGTTATCACTGTAGAATTAGTCATAACAGGTGCCAATAGCTGAAAACATAATTTGTTTTTATTTTAATTGACAATCCGTATGAAAATACATGTAAATAAGCAATGAACGATGCTGTGAAGGATAAATGAAAGCAGGTTTTGTGAAAATATGTTTTTAACAAATTAACAGCACTAATAGAAAGTCATATAAATAGGCATCCACAGCGAATCACAGGATTAGGTATCAGCAGCTGGACACGGGATTTTATAGTCATGAAATAACAATTTAAAAGAAGATTATTACAAATAAAAACACGCAAGATGGACTAGTCATTGAAGAAAGATACGATGGGAAAGGCATTTGTTCTACTGTGGTAGGTAAAATATATAAGTACGTTTTATTTAATAATTGGTATAATCTACAGCAAAGGATATACTGTACGCCCGGTATTTTTCGCGTGCGATTTAGTTTCGCTTTTCGCGACTGTGTTAAAATCGCGAAAATTAATCGTCGCGAATTTCGCCAATTAAAGGCTGAGTTGCAACATGCCGTTGACTAAGACCTAGAAATTGTAAATCTTATCAAAATATGACATTGGGTAGGTCGTATTACTGTAGATAAGGTAAATTAGTTTACAGATCTTGAGGATCCAGAGAATAATGGAATTTAAAACTTTGAAATCCGCGAAATTTAATGGCCGCGAAATTGGTATTTCTCAAAATTCGCGAAATTAAAACTCGCGGAAAATACCGGGCGTACAGTATTAACAAAAAGGGCAAAAACTAGGAAGAATTTTAAATGGGCACTATTCAATTCCTTACATTATTCTATATGTTCGGTACCCTAATTCATAGGATAAGCCTGATGGTTGTGACAGCCAAAGGATCTGGTAATTCAAGTGACTCTAGTGATGAAGAAACTGGCCACAGCATGGTAGACGATATGATTGATAAGCTCGACATTATGGCAAATGATCAGACAAATAACTTCGACAGAACCCTTGAACAACTCTTCAGCAGAGGTAGGCCTGCCTACATTATATATTGATAACAGCCAAAAATCAGGATTCTATCTTTCTTTGTTACAGTGATATCATCTGTCCAAACTCTATTATTGTAGGAATCGGCAGAATTGTTAACTCCACAAGCGCACTTGGGTTGCAGGCAGGATTCTCGAAGCCTGTGAGACGATCAAAAGGCAAAGACAAGATTAGAAGTGGGTTGAAGACTGAACTGTCGCTCAGAGAATTACGCAGATTGTAAGGATGGCTTTTGTTTTACATATTGTTATGGTATCCTGATATTGACATTTTGCATTTCATATGAACGACATTGTTTTGCTGTGATATCATATCGTGAATCATCAATTGCTAAAACTAAATGTATATTTACTACCAACGTATCCATATTTTCGTCTTACTTGAACATTTAATCCATGCCTTTATTTTACATGGGAGAAATTTTTAATAAACACGCTTGAGCCCAACTTATCCAGTTTTGCCAGAACTTATCAATAGTCTTGGTGCGCTAGTATCCCTTAAACCCCACATACTGTAGTTTATCTCAAAGAATGTACAGTTGTAACAAAACATAACCTACACTTAGCTGCTACTGGTGTTTTGATTAGTCTTTTCTAGGTCTAAAGTGGTATAATACAATATACGAGTAATAAATTAAACCCGATTTCGAGTGAAGATGAAGCAAGTAGTAATGAAGGAAACTCTATTTCCAGAATTCGCAGAAATGAATTAACATCGCGTACATCGATCAGAAATGCAATTAAAAAACTTCAGTCCAGGAACGAAGAGACGTGCCCTTATAAAAATGTGGATTGTACTGACCACAGAAACTTCAAAATAGATGTGATGAGATACAGGACACCTGACGGACAATGCAATAATTTGAAAAACAGTAGCTTTGGACGAGCCGAATTTCCCTTCATAAGATACCTGCCCGCTGACTATGGAGATGGTATTAGTTATAACATTTTTAATTTGTTGTGAATGCCTATGATTTTGCTATTATTATAATGTCAAGGCTTCATTGCTCAGAACCGGGCATTTCCAAATACCTTTTGTTATTTCAATGCTGGTTTAACTTTATCTTGCTTTATTGGAAACATACAAATGAAGTGTGCAAATATCCCATATACATTACATATTGAATATTATTCTAGTTGGTAAAATCAACTGCCTTCATAATTCATGGATTTCATCTAACAGGACTCAGTACAGGGAGACTGGCCAACGATGGTGGTCAACTACCGAACCCACGTCTGATAAGTCGAGAGATTCATACTGACTTTAATAGTGTCAGTGGCAGAATTACACACATGGTTATGCAGTGGGGCCAGTTTCTTGACCACGACATTACAAGGACACCAATGTCATCGGGTAATTGCAATCTCCTTTCCAAAATCGAAATATTCAATAAACGCTCCCCATGCACAATACAATATAAAAATATTTACGGTGGAATATTTTTAATTTTAAAAAATTTAGTATATTAGTTAAAATGATATTAAACAATAAAATAAAAACTAAAGTCAAATCATGTTATTTATTTCAGGTTTCGAGGGGACTAGTATTGACTGCTGTGCAGCGGTTGGTGAATTTCCGTAAGTACATAATAGTTTAACATTGCCATTAAGAATTGAGTGACCGCCTGTTAGAAACCCCGAGATAACGGGGAACTTGAGAGAAGAGGTTAATTGTATAATGTAGATTGTACTAATTTTTCTGGAATATTAAGTACTTTGGAAAAATCAAGATTCCTTAAAATCTTGCGTATTATTTCAGAGCCTATTGCTATCTTAAATCATACGTATGATTTCAGTGACTATTGTTATTTCCAGAAATGGTATTTGTGATATGGTAATCAATGTCCCTGCTAATGACACGTCATTCACAAACCAGTCATGCATCAACTTTGTTCGATCAGCTCCAACTACTGATGCGGCGTGCACTTTGGGTAAGTATATGTATGTTCAGCAGAAAACGACAGATCTGCATGTAGTCTGGGTAAGTATGAGCACCAATTACAGAAGATACATACAGTCTGGGTCTGATTCAGTACGGTCAGCACGAATAAGTGGTAGGTTTTGCACCAACATCAGATGCGACATGATCATTTTTATATAAACTTTAAATAAGATATCGTGTTTGGAAACTGAACATAGCAAGTGGCATAGTACTACTGTCAGACATAGAACTAAATCATATATATTGCCACACATACTATGCAGTGTAACATTTTTGGATTTAATTTCATTATAGGAGCAAGGCAGCAGCTCAATGAAATAACTTCGTTCATTGATGGTTCAAATGTGTATGGATCAACTTATGAAGAGCAGGTCAAATTGAGGGAAATGGCCAATGGTAGGTAATCAATTTCGTTATGGATCAACTTATGAAGAGCAGGTCAAATTGAGGGAAATGGCCAATGGTAGGTAATCAATATCATTATGGATCAACTTATGAAGAGCAGGTCAAATTGAGGGAAATGGCCAATGGTAGGTAATCAATATCGCTATGGATCAACTTATGAAGAGCAGGTCAAATTGAGGGAAATGGCCAATGGTAGGTAATCAATATCGTTATGGATAGATTTATGAAGAGCAGGTCAAATTGAGGGAAATGGCCAATGGTAGGTTATCAATTTCGTTATGGATCGACTTATGAAGAGCAGGTCAAATTGAGGGAAATAGCCAAAAGTAGGTAATCAATATCATTATGGATCAACTTATGAAGAGCAGGTCAAATTGAGGGAAATGGCCAATGGTAGGTTATCAATTTCGTTATGGATCGACTTATGAAGAGCAGGTCAAAATGAGGGAAATGGCCAATGGTATGTAATCAATATTGTTATGGATAGACTTACGAAGAGCAGGTCAAATTGAGGGAAATGGCCAATGGTAGGTTATGAATATCGTTATGGAAAGATTTATGATGAGCAGGTCAAATTGAGGGAAATAGCCAAAAGTAGGTAATCAATATCATTATGGATCAACTTATGAAGAGCAGGTCATATTGAGGTAAATAGCCAATGGTATGTAATCAATATCGTTATGGATCAACTTATGAAGAGCAGGTCAAATTGAGGGAAAATGTCAATGGTATGTTATCAATATTGTTATGAATCGACTTATGTAGAGCAGGTCAAATTGAGGGAAATGGCCAATGGTAGGTAATAAAGCATGAGTTCCGAAATGCAAGAGCATCTCAGACAAATTATGTAATATGTTCATGTTATAGTTCGGTTACACAACTTTCGTTTCATTTAGAGATCTCAAACTATCGCATTGTGTCATTGAATACATTGGTTTAAAATGACCTCGTCCATGCATCTGTTCTCTGATTTAAACTGTACTCAGTTCTTATATTGTGACATAAACTCAATGATTTTGTTATAAGTCTTCTCACAGTTTTCAGGGTATAATACAACTGAATGCACAAAACTATGCATTACCCCTTTAAGTAGGAATACTTCATTCTTAACACCAGCTTTATCCAGCTTCTCTGCAAACGCGTAACTGTCTTCTCTCAGAGGATCGCACTCTGCAACTATGAAAAGTGTCGCCGGTACCTTGGATAAGTCCTCTCGTAACATCAGGTTAAATCTAGGGTCCTTAGAATCGTCTTCATTAACGTACATGTCTTTGAACCAAAGCATTTGTTTCATCGTTAGCAGATGGTTTTCAGAGTAAGCCTTGAATGAACCACTCGTCATTTCATATCCAATACGTGGATAGATTAGTATTTGGAAATCGATATCGGGAACTTCGAAAACAAGACAAGATGCTATGGTACCACCTGCGCTGTCACCAGAGACGCCAATTTTACTATTCAAACCGCCACCTATCTTAAGTTTGTTATCTTTGACCCACTTTGCGACTGTGACGCCATCATTGAGCCATGCAGGAGTGCGGTGTTCGGGCCCAATACGGTATTCCGCATTGACAACAATACACTTTCCTTGAGTTGCAATCATTTGACACATCACTTGTCGACTAGCACGAGATCCTAGTGTAAACCCTCCCCCGTGAAAGAATATCAGAATAACTGGATCACCATCACAGTTACTCGGTTTGTTCACTGTAATGGGTAGTCCAGTGGGGACATCGCTTGAAGGTACAAACATTTCTTCTGAGGTTCCGTCGAAGTCATAATTCCCAGATGCAAATTTGCTTCTTTGTTCGTAAACACTTCTTGCCTCCTCGACTGAATCATATGTATAATAGTACTTCTTTCCACCTGCTTCAAATCCTTCAATAACGCGTCTTGCTTCTGGGTGAAGATAGGATCTGTCAATTGAAGTCATGTTTGCAATGTCTAAATATTCACAAATGGTTTGTAACTTTGACCGTGTCACTTCGTTATCGTACTTATTGTGGATAATTGTTGAACTTTAATCGTGTAATATAACTTATTAAAATTGAGGTTATCAAGGTCTGACTGAGGATTTTCAACATGATCAAGCTTTGTTATCAGATAATCTTATTGTGTTGAATCATGTTATCAATTGACCTTGTATTAATAGTTGGTTTTTGGTAATTATGCGTTACTATAGTAGACCTATTTGGTTTAGGGTGAAATTCCGTTTTTTTAAATAATGCTTGTATGTTCAGACTGACAGAACAATGATCGATGGCATAAGCTATCAAATGATATCTACTACAGATGAATGTTAACAAGTTAAGAAATTGTGAAGTGAAGTTTTTCTGACAACACGGTCACAGATATCTTGTATAATGTCTCTAATAATTATAGAATATCCTATGATTTTGAGGAATATCATTTTTATCTACGAGGTGATATTGATATCTGCACGAGAGAGCGAAGCGAACGAGTGCATATATCAATATCACCGAGTAGATTAAAATGATATTCTGAAAAAAATCATAGGATGTTCTTATTATCCTACACTTACAAGGTGTGTACTGAATGTATGATATCATTGTAAAATTAATTTCATGCCTAATAGAGTCAATTTGGCGGGAAATCAACAAGCGGAGTATATCGTCACAATATCCTCCGCATATTGGGTTTTCCGGAGTATATCGTCACGATATCCTCCGCCCGGAGTATATCGTAACGATATCCTCCGGATATTCATTTTGCCAATAAATATCAAATTTATTTTTTCATGTTATTATACATTTAGTACACTAAGTGTAGGATAATCCTTTTTATCTCTTGCTTCAATTCGCTGATGCTTCTAGGTTTATACGACAGAAACGCTTTCAACAAACCAATCAAATTACGGAATACAGTGTGTGCGTCCCTGGGTGTGCGTCATCAAATGCATAGTATAAACGTGTGATTCATTGCTCGCGTAAAAATATTCACTTTTCTGAGAGTGGGATTCGTTCCCAACCAGTGGTTCATTGTTTATTAAGAAAGGGGGTTCTTCCAAACAAGGGGCTCGTTTTAAAACAAAAGGCGAATGGGGGTTCGCACAAGACTCACGAACCCCCTTTTGCTACGCCCATGCTTCATATTGGATAATTATTATGGCATGTTTCCGTATTTTCAGCATGTATTTGTAAAATTGCCATAAAATTGTGACCATAAATATAGACCTATGAAACTTATTAGAATGAAAGAACATTAAACAAAGTTCAACAGTGCCAAATATGATTTTAGATCCATGATGGATGACGGAGTTATTGACATTTGTTTAGGTTACCTTTTTGTCTCACTCTGTATATATGTTGAAGGTGTAATGAAGCAGACAGATTCTAAACAAGATGGAAGTGTTGGAATATTACTACCACAAGATGACGATGATGAGACATGTGCAACAGATGATGTAAACAAACGGCCTTGCTTTGCTGCAGGTATATTGTTAATTCATTATTCACAAAACACTGTAATGTCCACAATCTAAATGACACACTGTATTCTTGTGTCATATCGGCCGGAATATTCAAAAAACGTTTGGTTTTATCTGTTGTGATTGTAGGAGACAATCGAGCAAATGAGCAGGCGGGTCTCGCTAGTATGCACACGATTTGGTTAAGAGAACACAACAGGATTGTAACCTCGCTTCGAGCAATGCATAGTGCCTGGCCAGATGAAATCATATTTCAGGTACCAAATATGGTTCCTCTTATTTACTAGATATACTAGTAGTACCATCGATAGTTATTAATTATAAACCATACTGTAAACATACACAAAATTTAACCACTTTATAAATCTGAAGACTGATTTCAATGATCAAGTCAAGAGTCCGTACAGTAGTAAATGTAAGAGAACGTATTGCAATATTATTTTCCCTTTGTGTGTTTTCAGGAATCCAGGAAAATAGTAGGTGCTCTTCTACAACACATAACTTACAATGAGTGGCTTCCGATTGTATTGGGGCCGACAGTTATGGTCCAGAATGGTCTCACTCCATTAACATCCGGGTATTTCAGAGGATATGACGAAGCAACTGATCCAACCATTGCTAACGTGTTTGCCACAGCAACGTTCCGGTTTGGACATTCATTAATTGATGATCACCTAGTACGATTAGCTGATATAGCAAATACCTCAGCATCTAACTTCACAAACTTACAACTTAAAGACACTTTCTTCAACCCTAACTCAGTCTATGATTTTGACAATGGCGGATGCGAAAGCATTCTCAAAGGGCTTGCTAGTCAGGGAGCACAAACCATGGATAGGTTCATCAAGGGTCAATTAACCAATGAGTTGTTCACAGATGGTCACATGAGTCTTGATCTTGCAGCTCTCAATATACAAAGAGGAAGAGATCATGGTTTACCAGGTAAGAAAATTCAATGTACCGTAGAATCAATTATTTTAAACTCACCAAGCCCTTCATTGAGGGAGATAAACTCATTTTAAGTTGTGATTGTCAATAGGCTAGTCCTTTACTTATAAACAAATATGAAGCAGCTGGTCATTTCAATGATTAGAATATTTGATTGTAATGGTGCATTGTTTTAGGATACAATCATTGGAGAGCTTATTGTAACCTTCCTCGGGCTACCGCTATAGATGAGCTGGTTGAAATACCCTCTGAAATCAGAACTAAACTACAAAGTATTTATGCGTACGTATGTCAAAGCCCAAGTATACTTGGCTACCCATCTATTCTGACTCTTGCCGAAGTATACTGACCTGACCTAAGTATTCTTAGTTTACTTATTTCTTCGAATACACTCGATAGATGTCCACGTTAGTTTTTTAATAATTTTTAGTTGGATTTGTTTTATTAAAAAGGTGGCTCCTGTTATTCTGGTAGTTTTATATTTTTACTTCATTGATGTTATACGTTACGTTACGTCATATTACGGCTTCATCACTGGTTGTTATTTTTACTTTTATATAAGTAATTTCAGGTTCCGACTTCCATATGTTTTTATAAAAGGCAGTTTCCTATCATATAAGGGTCACTATGAATAAAATATCTTATTAATCGTGGATATTGGATGGTACAATAACATTTTGGTAGGTGGGTGATGTTGTTCTTTGTGCGTTAACCAGAGTTATGCTGGGGATTCTTTTTCTTTTCAATGACTGATTCAATCAATGCTAGAACTAAATCACCAATAAATTGATAAAGCTATCTCGTAATGTGAGTCATGCAATTAAGGCACAATACAAGTTAATAGTTTCAATGATATTGTCTTTATTACATATAACCTTACATATGTAACATATGGACATAATATTTACATTTTCTAGATTATACAATCAGTATTGTACATCATACGAGCTGCTTTTATTTTCATAATGATAGGGAAAACCGTTGGTGCTCCTATTAATATCAACGTGTTATCTTTAAAGTATACAATACGTGTATATTTATTATTTAATAAATTTCAAATATACACACCCTATGGATTTAAAGTAGCACAATTTATTCAGACTATGTAGCATTTTTACCGTCCGATTATTTATCTCATAGTAATGTCAATAGGCGATTATTTCCTATTCTACATACACAAGAAAAATATTGAAGTATTGATATTTAAAAAACAAAAAGAGTGGGTCTAATTCTTTAAATAATGTCAGGAATTAAAAAAAAATCAGAAATACAGATACTGACCCTTTAAGTATAAAATACAATGATAATAAAATAGGCGAGTATACTGTGTATCACTTAATCACTTTTATTACAATATATCATACAAGGTTACAAAATATCTTATAATATACAGGGTGGGCCAAAAAACACCCCTAGTCAATAATATTTTTTAACAGAAACACCAACAATGATACAGGGTGTCCAAAAAAACAGGACCGTAAGAAAGTTAAATAACTCGGTCAATTTTGCATATTTTGCCTTGACATTTCAGAATTATTTAGTTCATTCAATGTGAATTTTGTTGTGAAAGTTTGATAATAATCTACCATTTGAGTCAAAAACTACAGCTCCTTACAAAACATGCCCCAAATGTGCAAATCTCAGCCCTAGGCACAATTCAATCCGGCGAACAAAGCTGTTGATGATCCTCCTACACACATGTCTTTCTGAATGGACAAGTTTGTTCCAAGAACAATTGCTACTTGGGCTTACAGTGTTACAGCATCCATTGCATTCTGAACAATGCACTCCCTGGGTGGCAATGAGGAAACATGGAATCATCAGTCCCTTTTGTTTCGAAGGTGACTGGGGACTTGCTATAACCATGAACAAGGACCAGTAAGTTCTCACGTTTTGGAGGTCACTAAGCACCAGAAGGGATATCTAAGGAGATAATTAAGCAGTGGTTTCAACAAGCCAATACCACCCCAACACTGCAAATGATATGCTGAAATGGTTTAGGCAATGCTTTGGTGGTCAGCTCATCAGTTGCAGAACGCAAACCATATGGGCAGCTCATTCGCCTGATCTAAATCCCCCAAATTTTTATCTTTGAGGATTTCTCAAAGCCAATTTGTATACTGACAGGCCCCTCACAATCTTAAGAAGGCAATAACTTCCCCAATATTTACCATCCACATTAATGTGTGTAGGTAAGGGTCATTAACAACTTTGTTCGCAGGATTCATTTGTGCATAGAGAGGAGAAGTGCCCACTTTGAGCATGTTTTGTAAAGGACTGTAGTTTTTGACACAATAAACAGATTACCATCAAACTTTCAGAACAAAATTCACATTGAATGAACTAAATAATTCTTAAATTTCAAGGCAAAATATGCAAATATGACCGAGTTATTCAACTTTCTTACGGTCCTGTTTTTTTGGACACCCTGTATATCATTTTAAAGATTTAATTTAATTCGCAATAAAATGATATATAACAGAATAATTTTCAACAACCCTGAATTGAAACTGAATTGCCTGCCAAATGAATAGGCGCAGTGCATGACAAAATATGTTAGGCCATCTAGTATTTTTTTTTGAACTGATACCCTTCTAAGATATGAGATCTATTAAAAAGGCGCATCATCAACAACGTGCAAGAGTCCTATAAATCGGGCAACAATGGTCTACACGACCTGTAATAAATAGGTATAAGGGACGTTATTATCACAATACTAATGACATTGCTCACTGTTTAAAGTTAATTTCCATGCGTTATACAAAAAATAATCGAAATAAATTAATATTGGATGGAGGGGGGATAGGATGGAGGGGGGATAACGTGTATATAAGACATGATAAGACATGCTACTTGAATTTATTCTTATGACTCCAAATTTTCCCATTTTTCATTCTCCAGAGATACAATATCCAGTTCCTTACTGGGGTACTGAGTTTAGTTTTTTTTCAACTACACGAGTTCTTGTGAATTTGTTCCATCGTAAAGACATATAAATCTAGCGTCCTGGAACGTTTTAGCTAATATTATTAGCCGAGAGCTCCCCAAAAATCTGGATTTACATTACATTTGTAAAACGTGTTAACGCTAAAACGTTTTAGCCAAGACGTCTTAGGGCTCTAGTGTAAATCCAACAACTATGATGCTTCAGTTGGTTAACCAATGCATGGAGCAGGCAATAACCATCACCATCATTTTCTATAACTCTAAGGCCGTGATTTGCTGCTGTCTCCGCCATTGTCTGCTCTTTGTCATTTCCACTAATCATAGATTCCAACAATGCGCGTTGCAGCGCATAAAAGTTGAGCAAATCCTCTGAATAATAAAAAATAAAATTCTTCGCATTAACAACAGGTTTTTGCAAAGACGGGAACATTAGTGAATCTCATATAAAAAATGTGGCGCACTATGACAACACAATCATTAAAAAGAGATAGTATGAGGACAAAATGCTGAAAATTAAGTTTCTAGTTTCAAGTTACTTCCAAAATTTGGTTGAGTTGAACAGTGTACAGTGGATGAGAAACTATCGTTTATTACATTACTTTCTGTACCTTGCATTTGACTTCTCATTCTCCGACAAGTTCTCAACACCTCCTTCCTGTTGCAGCCCTAACCTTAATCACAAAGTATAAGAAGGCATGTATAGTTATATCAAAGATTACATCAGCAAAGAATAGTAATAGTATAAGTAGTAAGTGTTTCGACTTTAACAACTGATTGAAGCAAGAGTTCCGACTTTTACATCTGATTGACCAAAGTGTTCCGACTTTTACAACTAATTGAAGAAAGTGTCCCGACTTTTACAACTAATTGAAGAAAGTGTTCATACGTTTACATCTGATTGACCAAAGTGTTCCGACTTTTACATCTGATTGACCAAAGTGTTCCATCTTTTACATCTGATTGACCAAAGTGTTCTGACTTTTACAACTAATTGAAGAGAGTGTTCCTACTTTTCCAATTGATTGAAGAAAGTGTTCCTACGTTTACATCTGATTGACCAATTCAAAGTGTTCCGACTTTTACATCTGATTGACCAAAGTGTTCCATCTTTTACATCTGATTGACCAAAGTGTTCCGACTTTAACATCTGATTGAAGCAAGTGTTCCGACTTTTCCATCTGATTGACCAAAGTGTTATAATTAACTGATTGAAGAAAGTTTTCCAACTTCTAAAATTGATTGTCCAAAGTGTTCCGACTTTTACATCTGATTGACCAAAGTGTTCCGACTTTTACAACTTATTGAAGAAAGTGTTCCTACTTTTACAATTGCTTGACCAAAGTGCTCCGACTTTTCCATCTGATTGACCAAAGGGTTCCGACTTTAGCATCTGATAGTGTTCCGACTTGTAATATTGATTGACCAAAGTGTTCCAACTTTTACATCTAATTGACCAAAGTGTTCCGATTTTAACATTTGATTGACCAAAGTGCAACTGATTGAAGAAAGTGTACCTACTTTCACAATTGATTGACCAAAGTGTTCTGACTTTCAAATCTGATTGATCAAAGTAATCCTTCTTTTACAAATGATTGACCAAAGTGTTCCGACTTTGAAATCTGATTGACCAAATGTTTAGAACACTTTGGCCAATTAGATGTAAAAGGCAGAACGTTTTGGTCAATCAATTGTAAAAGTTAGAACGCTTTGATCAATCAATTTTAAAAGTCTGACACTTTCTTCAATCAGCTGTAAAAGTATAAATACTTTGGTCAATCAATTGTAGAAGTAGGAACAATTTGGTCAATCAGATGTCAAAGTCGGAACACTTTGGTCAATCAGATGTAAAAGTCAGAACACTTTGGTCAACCGTTATAGAAGTCGGAACCCTTTGGTCAATCAGTGATAAAAGTTTGAATTCTTTGGTCAATCAGTTGTAAATGTCGGAACACTTTCATCAATCAGCTGAAAAAGTCAGAACACTTTGGTCAATCAGTTTTTTAAGTCTGAACATTTTGCTCAATCAGCTGTAGAAGTTGGAACACTTTGGTCAATCAGTTACTAGAAGTCTAAACACTTAGGTCAATTAGCTTTTAAAGTCGGAACATTTTGGTCAATTTGTGATAAAAGTTGGAATTCTTTGGTCAATCAGTTATAAATGTCAGAACACTTTGGTCAATCAGCTGGAAAAGTCGGAACACTTTGGTCAATCAGTTGTAGAAGTCTAAAGACTTTGGTCAATCAGATGTAAAAGTCGGAACACTTTGGTCAATCAGCTGTAGAAGTTTGAACACTTCAATCAATTAGAACACTTTTGTCAATCAGCTGTAAAAGCCAGAACACTTTGGTCAATCAGTTGTAGAAGTCTTAACACTTTGGTCAATTAGCTTTAAAAGTCGGAACACTTTGGTCAATCAGTGATAAAAGTTGAAATTCTTTGCCAATCAGTTGTAAATGTCGGAACACTTCCGTCAATCAGCTGAAGAAGTCAGAACTTTTTGGTCAATCAGTTTTTTAAGTCTGAACATTTTGCTCAATCAGCTGTAGAAGTTGAAACACTTTGGTCAATCAGTTGTAGAAGTCTAAACACTTTGGTCAATTAGCTTTTAAAGTCGAAACATTTTGGTCAATCAGTGATAAAAGTTGTAATTCTTTGGTCAATCAGTTATAAATGTCAGAACACTTTGGTCAATCAGCTGGAAAAGTCGGAACACTTTGGTCAATCAGTTGTAGAAGTCTAAACACTTTGGTCAATCAGATGTAAAAGTCGGAACGCTTTGGTCAATCAGCTGTAGAAGTTTGAACACTTCAATCAATTAGAACACTTTTGTCAATCAGCTGTACAAGTCGGAACACTTTGGTCAATCAGTTGTAGAAGTCTTAACACTTTGGTCAATTAGCTTTAAAAGTCTAAACACTTTGGTCAATCAGATGTAAAAGTCGGAACACTTTGGTCAATCAGCTGTAGAAGTTTGAACACTTCAATCAATTAGAACACTTTTGTCAATCAGCTGTACAAGTCGGAACACTTTGGTCAATCAGTTGTAGAAATCTTAACACTTTGGTCAATTAGCTTTAAAAGTCGGAACACTTTGGTCAATCAGTGATAAAAGTTGGAATTCTTTGCCAATCAGGTGCAAATGTTGGAACACTTCCGTCAATCAGCTGAAGAAGTCAGAACACTTTGGATAAATCAGTTTTTGAAGTCAGAACATTTTGGTCAGTCAGTTGTAGAAGTCTAAGCACTTTAGTCAATCAGCTGTAAAAGTCGGAACACTTTGGTCAAGTCTGTGTTGAAGTTTGAACATTTCGGTCAATTAGAACACTTTGGTCAATCAGTTGTAGAAATCTGAACACTTTGGTCAATCAGTTGTAAAAATTGGAACACTTTGGTCAATCAGCTGTAGAAGTGGAAACACTTTGGTCAATCAGCTGTTAAAGTCGGAACACTTTGGTCAATCAGTTGTAGAAGTCTAAACATTTTGCTCAATCAGCTGTAGAAGTCGAAACACTTTGGTCAATCAACTGGAAAAGTTGGAACACTTTGGTCAATCAGTTGTAGAAGTCTGAACACTTTGGTCAATCAGTTGTAAAAATCGGAACACTTTGGTCAATCAGCTGTAGAAGTGGAAACACTTTGGTCAATCAGCTGTTAAAGTCGGAACATTTTGGTCAATCAGTTGTAGAAGTCTAAACATTTTGCTCAATCAGCTGTAGAAGTCGAAACACTTTGGTCAATCAGCTGGAAAAATTGGAACACTTTGGTCAATCAGTTGTAGAAGTCTTAGAGCACTCAGTTTGGTCAATTAGTTTTAGAATCATTGAAAAATGGGACATTTTATTCAGTCATGGTAGTTATGTACTAAATGCGAATACATCTTTAGGATTGTTGTTGTTGTTGGTGCTATGCTTTTTGAAACCCGTGGAAAGTCAGGTTCTTTTAGCCTCGATTACTCAACTACTACAAAAATTCTAGCAATGTTATATTTATCAAGTCGCATCCTCAGGCTTGAATGAGATATAATTAAACAATGACAATACAATCATTAAAATGTTTGATTTTAAATGTTTTTCATTTAGTATTTGCTTTATTATTTCAAAACTACTCACTGAAAGATATTTCTGTTCCTCGTATTGTAGTTTGTGACTTTGCACAATCGGCCTCCTCGGTCTTGCTTTGCAGAACAGCTTGTACATACTACACATGACCTTAGAGTTTGTGTCTCAGGTTTCCAGTTACAAAAAATCTTGATGTATTAAACAGATAAAAACATGTTTTCAACTAGTATGCTTTAGAAGTGTTAAATGTACTACATTATAGCATTACTTCTAATCTCGGCATATTTGTATTCATAGACTAATTAAGAGACTTGTAACATAGATACAGATGAGTTCATCTGGTGTATTGAAAAATCTAAATTACACGAAGAGCGCTGAGCAGGCTGATATGGTGACCAAGAGTCGCTGATCCGACTCTGACCCTCTCAGGTTTGATGTTTATAACAAGTTCAGCCGATTTCTCCTAGAAAAAAAAGATGCATTTTGTCACGTGAAAGTTTACAAGTTATTCGCTAAATGAATAGGTGCACGTTATGGTTAAAGGTTTTAAATTTTTCTTAACTGATACGCATCAAGGAGTGGTAGTCTACAAGTAGTGACATATTGCTATTGTCTCCAATTTTTTTGTGGACGGCGTTCGGTGGTTGGCGTGCGGCGTCTGTAACAAATGCCAGGGGTGACATTTTGCATGTTAATGCCTTGTTAAAATATGTTGCTGTCACTTTCAGCTAGCAAAGATGTCATAACATCATAACGAGGAAATAATTTTATTACTATTGCATTTTTGTTTTCAGGAATACACTCATATTTATTTACACGAATAAAAAATATATTCGTTCCAGGGGCGATTCTGAAAATCAAGAGTAGGGGATCCTAAATCTGAAAATTGGAGCCCAGTTTATAAAAAAACAGACTCAAAATTGAAATAAATAATGCCCAGTAATGCCAAGTTGTTACCTTAATTGCCATGGGCGTAACGCCCGGTACGCTGGGTACGCACAGGCGTACAGATGGTTGCAAATTCGCCCCAAACACAACCAAATTTCCTAATTTTCCTGGGGGAGAACCCCCAAACCCCCTTAATGCTCGTTTTTGATTCAATCAACTCTTGTTCCTGCAGTGGTGGCGTACTACTTAGAAAAGTCATCTATCTCATTTATAAAAACATGAGCGGGTTTCAAATTAAGTTCAGGAGCCATCTTTTGAATATACGTGGAATCCATCGAGAAATGATTAAAAACGAACGCGGACATCTATCGAGTGTATTCGAAAAAATAAATAAACTCAGAATACTTGGGTCGGGTAAGAATACTTCGGCAAGAGTCAGAATAGATGGGTAGCCAAGAATACTTGGGCCTTCACATACGTACCTGTATATGATATTATCAAGACACATTGAAAATAAAACTACACACAAGCAAAATCATTTAAACAAAGTTTAAAAACAAAATCAGCTTGTTTGTCAATTAAATAATTCATGGATCCATTGGAAAAATTAAAATAATTAGATTCATTTATACATTAATTTACAGACACGTAGATGATATAGATATTTTCACTGGTGGATTGGCAGAGACTCGTTTACCGGATGCATTGGTTGGCCCAACATTTGCCTGCATTTTAGCCAAACAGTTCCATGCACTTAAAGTAGGCGATAGGTTCTGGTACGAAAATGATCTCAATGACAGTAAATATACCAAATTTACAACAGGTATGAACAATAAATTACTAATATGTTGTCGCTAATGTCAAATATTGAACATGAAAGTTGAATAGAATGCTCTTCTAATATGTTTCCGTCGTCGGGCTCTAATGAATAGAGAGATTTCACAACTTCCTTATTGTTTATAATTCCCGTAGACCGTATAACACGTATAACATATGAAGTGTTTGGTTACGTCATCACTTATTGCGTAGCTCTATACGTCGATAAGTGGGATATTCTTATAAATCGTCGTCTATTCGTAAGAGTATCCCACTTATGGACGTACGCGTATAGAGCTGTAATAAATAATGACGTTATCAAACGCTTCATAAGGTATACGGGAATAATAAACATGTGAGGATTGAGTTGCGACTAACATAGTATATCTGTTTGTCGGACATGATGAAATAACGTGTGGGCATGCATTGCAATCTCTTCAAAATGTAAATATTGAACCTAAACATCGTTATTTATTGTAGATCAACTGACAGAAATCAGAAAAGTTACACTCTCCGGAATCCTTTGCCAGAACATGGTTGCTAGTGGAATGCCTCAAAATTCATTCTTGCAGTTATCAACTACGTGAGTAAAGTTATTTGCTTTGTGGCCCATACCCTGATTCATTCTGACCAGAAATCACAAGCTTATTAAATAGCAGAAGCATGTCACTCAATCTTTCCATTCAATGAAATAAACCATTTCCTCAGTGCACTTTTTACGCTGGAAGTTATTTAGAATGGAATAAATATAATGGTATACTTATTAACATGATGTCTGATAGCCTTTAGAAAATGATGATCATGACCAGTATATTAATATTGTTATTTGACAGGAACGCTTTCATGGACTGCGACAACATTCCAACTATGGACCTGTCCAAGTGGACAGAAGATCTGCAAGGAGTGAGCAATTTACAAAACATTAAACCCGGACGAGGGGGAGGTCGGAGAATTCGACTAAGGGGATAATACTAAGATATTAGAACACTTCATTAACCTGCTGAATGTAAACTCAGGAAACTGACAATAAAAAGCAAGTGGAATCGACTAAATGTCATCTACTTTAAATAAGAATTGACAAATAACCTCATCTACCTTTCCATCCATACATTTTCCTAAACCGAAATAGAGTTAACACACATTGGCAGCCACAACCCACCACCACTGGCCATAAGTTAGACGCATACGTGTACTACATATGCTATCAATATGTATAGTTATTATTGAATTCTTATTTTTGTCACTAAAACAACTTCATACACTTGTTAAAGTGTCAGTCGATGTATAATTTATGTATCATAGTTTGACAATAAAGTATGTAACTAACTAAAACAAAAAACAAAAAAAAACGGACAGTTGGGCATTATTGAATGGCAATGTCAAAAACAAGTGTGGCGCACGCACTGTAGTTTATAGTATACCATATAGAAAGGTTATACATGAAATAAAACATATGACACTATTGATACTGTTAAATAATTATATATTAAAATAAATCTCCATAATGAAATGTTCTAAATATGGGCCTGGCCATAGGAAAACCGATCTTATCACAAAAATTAGAATTGTGCTACAGAGCCAAAAATGTGCCCAAGATTAAGAGGAAAATGTGCTAAATTCAAATCCGACTTTTTGGTCTATATATGCAAGGAAAAATTGTTAAGACGTAAGCAAAGGTCTCTGTGCTTTCCAAGATAAACAAAAAATCAGAATATTGAAAAAATCTGTGATAAGACCCCTTTTCCTGTGGCCTGGCTCATATATTTTGTGTTCCATTAGTTTCATTGAAAGAACATTGACATTTTGGCACATTAACATACATTTATTGCATACAAGGCTTGTATGAAAGCTATGTATAATCATTCGAATAGTGGAAAAGACAGATGGCCCATAATTCTGAAGCAGCTTATGTGAATGATTTGGGTGAGCATGTCTCAATGGAAAACGTAATTTATCTTTGCCAAGTCACTTACACATCGAACACACTTATCTAGCAGATTTAAGTAAATCAATATTAAGATTCACAGGGGTCTATGTTTTGATTGTCGAAATTTACACTTCTACTTTATCATACCTGTATTCTGTCATTGTCTTATTTCGAAGAATATTAGACACCTTTTTGTTAGTGATTCAGATATGCATCTGTATCGACAAACCACGCCATTGTCCCATCATCTGGTGACACACCGGTAATTGGAAACAGCTTCTGATTGTCAGTGTTTGAAATTTTGTGTAGAATGTCATGCTTGTGTCCTCCTACTATTAAGACAGATACATGTTTTGCATTATTGATTGTGTTGAATGTCAATGACATCCTGTTCACTGATGTTTCATTTGAGCCTCCTTGTGTTAAAGCTACACCCTTGTCATCCATCTCTAAGGACGGTTGATTGGGAAATAATGAAGCAGTGTGGCCGTCCTGGCCAACACCAAGCAAAATATAGTCTAATATTCCGTCTGTTTCTTTGTTAAGTGTTTTCTCATACATTGCATTCCCATTGTCATTTGAAATGCATAGTCCATTGTTTAACTCAACAGGCATGGGATGAATATTGAAATATGGGATTTCGATGTGTTTGATAAGATGAGTGTGTATACTATAAAAGTTGGAATGTTCCTGTGTCAGTGGTAGACAACGTTCATCTACCAACCAGATGTGAGTCTTGTGCCATGGAAAATCCTGAGCATGTTCAGCCATATGCTGCATCAATTCAATGGGGCTTGATCCTCCAGATAGAGCTAAGTGAAAGTTTCCCTTTGAGTCTATACTCCTAGAAGCAATATCAAGAATATGATCTGCTAACTTCTCAATAAGTTCAGACTTGGGAGACACAATGAGCTTTCTCCCACGGAATGTAGCTGGAATACTCTGCATATCTGAATTACTGGAAGGAATTTCTGTCGCTTCAAATCTTTTATGTTTTTCGGTGAAAAACTTCAATTGGTTTTTAGCATGTTGAAATTTTAATATATCTGTGTCCTCGTCCCATCCTGAATACTCTTGTAATGGTATGTTGTGTAAATCATTCAACAAAGGAGTCCATATATCCCATGATGCCAAGAGCTGGTCAGTCCCAACAAAATATTGTTTGTTATTTTTATACACTTCAGAAATGAGTGAACTATATGCATCAATATCAGTCTTAGCAGTGAACGCATTAAAAGAGTTACCAGGTTGTTTGAAATAGTCCACTTGTTGTGAATTTGTCCATTCGGCCACTGCTGTTGGGTAAGGAAGAGACTGGGAGATGACAATAGCTGGTATACCAATACTCCCGCCTCCTATATTAAATAGCATCTGCTGATAAGGAGAACACTTGGTATTGTCCCATGAATCACCGTCTTCAAAGCACACGATCTGCCTCTTGAAAGTGATTTTAATGTAGCTTGCACGTTCATGGAGTTTCTTACCTGCCACTAAGAGAATTGGTACACCTTTCCAACGTGCATTATCAATATTTACTAAACTTGCAGCAAATGTTGGAGTTTTACTTGCCACATGTTCACTTGCAGCTGATGCTATGAGCTCTGATTGATAACTGGCATACTGTCCAAGTAACACCTGTTTGGGTTTCACTGGGCTGACCTGTTGCAACAGTTGAAGTTTTCTTTGTTGAATCTCTGTTATGTTGTTTATATTCTTTGGAAGCTCCATGGTAACAAGTACAAGCAATTCTGTGAGGTGGTTCTGCATCACATCACGTATCACACCACACTCATCATAAAAATTCACTCTACCTGAAATTTGAGCATAAAATCATTATTTTTAGGTTGAAATTCAAGCTCATTGTCATGATAATCTTTTGATTCAAATATACATGCACAAGTGCCAAAGAAAATGACCAAAAGTTATTTAGAACACAGCAAGAAAAAGACAACATTTAAGAGAACACCAGTGATGAAAACAAACCTCAACTATCCCAATCCATAATCTAACATGACAAGAAACAATGTCTAATACCCCTACCGACCATTCCAGTCCAATAATCACAAGCTTAGACCATAACGCTTACATGTAAGGACATTTCATTCATGCTGAAGACATTACAAAACTGTACATGTTGAAGAATTGAAGAAAATGTGTTAATTGATAGCCAATACTCATAACATCAAAAAATAATTGTAATTATTATATCACTATCTAGCTAGCGACAGTATGATTGGTCAAAACCGGGTCACATGTCGTGGGATATCTGGCGATATTCAATGGCAATGCTAATCAGATAAGACAACCGTGAGATATCTAGCGATATCCCACGCTCCCGGGAATTTTCAAAGAATTTGTTTTCGTTCAGTATAAATAATTTAGTTCAGTGTAAGTCAAAATGGCAGACGAACCGAGTAGATTCAATGTATTTCAATGTTAACCTATGACTTAATAATATTAGGGATGTTTAGCTAGACAGTGATATAATAAAACAAATATTTCACTCTATTTTCGGTGAATACCTGTAGCACTTTCACAAGGTGATATTCCACTTGCCCTTCGGGCTTCGTGGAATATCACTTGTGAAAGATGTACAGGTATTCACCTCAATAGAGTGAAATATTTGTTCAATATTCAATACTAATATTCATTTTATTACTATGTGATAAGATGAGCATTCACTCTCAAATGATGTGGGACAAACAAAATCAAATTTCAAATTCCATTCGCAAAGTCATCACTATAATCCACAAAACACAATATTTCACAATGGTCATCAGGAGAAAAATATGGGTAAGCAAATTCGATTTCATGGAGAAGTAATTTTTCCTGATTTACAAGCCATATACAATGTTCATTCGGATGACAGTGAAACTAAGTTTACTTCTTATAAAACGTATTTTGTTTTATTCCTCTTGACATTATAATGGTCTAGTGACAATCATCTTAAAATTGTGCCATTGTTAAAAGTTGTACATTGGGTTGTAGGTGCTGTAAATCACAATGCTATTGCTCAAACACCTCATAATCAATTATGCATGTATATACATGTACCTTTAACATCAACCTCTTCCTTCATCATTATTTCGATTTTCTCTATGTGATCCCTATTCCATATATGATCATAGTTCTTTGTATTATGAAACCTGAAAGTAACAACATACCAAATATCATGATTCAGTAGTGAAGGAAGTTTGTTCAAATAACATGTATTACGATTCAGTAAATGGGATGATTCCATACAAACATTATATTATTTTGGAATATTGCCTTGATAGAATTCCCAATTTCTAGTTATCTTACCTGAAGGGTAATATTTGCTTTGCAATAGATTTCCCAAGGTAGTGATCGATTCGAAACATTTCCTCATCTTTGAAATACTTGACTAGTTGCTCTGCAAGTTCAACAGAGGATTTCTTATCATGTCCAAATGGTTTCTCAATGATAATCCTAAACCAAGTAGGTGCTTGGGGTCTACAATACTTGTCAATTAACTCAGCTGTTTTTGAGTAAGCAGAGGGTGGAATAGATAAGTAAAACAATCGTCCAAATTCCACTGTTTCATCTTCAGTTGAGTCATTTGTTGTTCCAGCTTGAGCATGCTTTGAGTTCATGTTTTCACACAATGTTTTGTAATGTTCTTCTATCTTGAGTTGATGGTATGTTGTGTGAAAAATGAATTCTGCTTTGAGGTCATCACATGAGTTGCATTTTATACTTGACTGAAGGATTTCCTGCAGTTTTGGTGAACCTGTTAAGAATAATTGACCCTTTTCAATGAACCCTTACACCTTTTGGTAGATCAAAGAAGCTATGATATATTGGCCAAATTAATGATTTTGAAGTACATTTTCAGAATTAATAAATTAAGCCTTTATTTACTTGGACGGACTTAGTTGAAAGCCCATGCTACAACCAATGACATCATCAATCTTGCCAATATATCATAACTTCTTTGGTTGATGTACCAAAGGTGACAGGGTTAATTGGAAAAGTCTATTGAATGGTGAAAGTCAATTGGTGAAATGGCTACAGTAGCTCACAATATCAATCTACTGGATTATAGAGTGAGCTAAAGTTTAAGTTAAATGATAATTTTCAATTGTCTTTAATAATGAATTTTATTTGAAGTTAATGTCAAGATAACACTAAAAGGTATGTTCGGATTTTTTAAAGATACATTTTGATTCTGTAATATAATTTGATTAGATTAGTAATATACCTATATCTGCTTCTGCTCTTGCAGCTCCATAGAAAGTAAATGTGTCTTCATACATTGACTCTGATTCATATAAATTAAAGAGTCCATTCCAAAGATACTTCTTTGCCAAATCACCTAAAACATTTGTTTAGAACTTATTGTTGATTTAATATTTACACACAGTACAACAGTTTAATTGCTGACAGGATTGTGTTCACATCTAATGTACATGTTAATATGACAATGATTTACAATTACATAATTGTTCTTCTTCTAAATAATTTTTTTTACATAGCTGTATAAAAATCTGTACAGTACCTGTTGCGCCCACAAGGATAATGTTTGTATGCCGACTGTAGACAGGTGTACATAATGATATGATGATTGTCACCAAAGCAATGGTAAGTATCTTCACCATCTTTCTTTCTTTCTTTCTTTCTTTCTTTCTTTCAGAGGCTTGTTTTTTGTTTACCAATCGATATAAATACCTATATGTGTATCTAAAAAAGTAACGATAATGAGTATTCAGTAGAAAATACACAACATGAATACATTGTTAAGTACTCTACATTTTAATCTAGCTTCAAGACCCTGGACCCCCCCCCCCTCCCCTTATCTCATTTAACAGCACAACAAAGAAAACTTTAACCCTTAGGAAGGATCTCGAAGCAAGACTACTGTACATTTACGATTTGTTCTAGATATACTTCTGTGGGTCCTTTAGTATTCAACTAAATCCAACTTCAGATTTACTTAGTTTGCACAAAGCTATCTCCTGAGAGATACTCAGAATGGCTATGTGCAAATATAGTAACTTCAGATATTGAATTTGGCACCCAACTTCCTGAATTAAGAACCTTTGTACCCAATAAATATGTGAAATCTGAGACCAATAAAAATATACATTTGTAACGACCCTTGATATCAAGTTGCTACTACGGCCCAGCTGTAGTGGCTTAATCCTTTATAGCTCAGTCGGTAGAGCATCAGTCTTTGGACACAAGAGTCCTAGGTTCGA